GTTTATTAGAAATACCAACCAGACTGGAATCATACAAAAGCAGCAACTGAATGCTTGTCTGTTTAACTGTTTAACACTCCAGATCTACGTCTTTTAGGTTACCCCCCCCACACACACACACACATTCCCATCAAGCCCCTTACTTTCCCAAAACATTATCCACTCAAAACTCCAGAACCTGAATTTTTATTTCTGAGCCAATAAACAAATGTATACAGACAAACAATAAAGCTAAATCTATGTGTGTAGGTGTGTATTGTGTGCGTCTGTCTTCTTTCACAACAGTCCCAGTTTGTATTCCACCATCATGTGTGGCTCGCCCATCATTTCACACTGGGCTGGATCTGCAAGAGAGACACAAACACGGTGTGCTGTTCAGATATCACATTCACACAGCTGTGTTAATGATTGCGTGAAGGCGAAGGGGGCGAGGTTCTCACCGTTGAGGACGTCCTCGAAGCTGATGGCCTCGTCGCTGCCACGCAGCGTATCCAGAGCCAGGTTTGAACTCTGTAAGAACGGCAGGCGCTGGATCTGGAAGGAGGAGGGACAGACAACCAGAGTTATGAAGGAGAAGAATTACTTTAAAAAAAAGTGACCAGTAAAGCAAGCTGAAAGGGAGAGGGGTGAACGGAAAGTGGTTGCTAGGGATTGGGGTTGAGAGAGACATGCAGTTACCTGTCTAGCTGCCCTGTACTCCATCTGCAGTTTGAGTGGAGCATGAAGACCCTGGATGTTTCTGAGTGTGGAGAAATTCATCTTGTCCTTGTTCAGCTGGAACTGCACACCACAGAAACGCACAAAAACATTCAGTACCACAGGGACAAAAGTGTCACTGATCTGCTTCAGACAAATAAAACAGGGCTGTCTGTTGTCAGTCAGGAGAACGTCGACTTTAACGCACAGGTAATTCTGTTTTATTGTTAAAGATGAAGATTTGAGACATTTGTTTTCCATCAAAGGAAAGTCAGGGACATCTTTAGATAAGCACACAGTCCTGAGAAGACGTCTAATCTATGTAAGCTTTGTGGGAGCTTTAACTAGTGGTACTTTATTCTCTTACAATTGCAATTACTCACATTCTTTTCTGACAGCTGCAGTGGGTGGCTTGGGAGGAGCTCATTCTTTACACTAGAAAAGCTGTGGAGCAAAAGAAAGTGACAATCAGCATAATGTACATGTAATTTGGGTTCAAGAGTTGGGACTCCTGAAAGTTACGACCAAACACACCAAGCTATTACAGCAACTCCTCCTGACAGAGAGTAAACATAAAATCACACCACTGAGCCATTACACATGAAAATTCAAACTCTCCATTGTATCCGCTCATTCTCCAATCAAATAAGTTTAACACTGCGCAGGTAGGAATTTGTAAAGTAACATGACAATGTATATTTACTGTACAGCTCATATAAAGCAGAGCCTGACGTTTGCACTAGAAAAATAAACTGATAAACCTCTCTGATTGATAAACTGAAAGGATAATGTTGTTTCTATATTACTTATATCTATGGGTTTTTTGACCTGCAATTATTTGTTACTTAACGGTCAACACATATATTAACACTGGACTGACACACTGGATTTCTAGATGTAATGGATAACCAGGTACACAAGTGAAGTGTTGGTATAATTTGATAAAAGAAGGTGAATAAAGACCGGAACATAAAGTGAACAGCAGATATTAAAATATAATTGAACGTAATTTGTGAACAAGCATCCGTGTGAATTCAGTGCAACTAAAACCTGGACTGTATTTTAACCAGAGACATAACATTAGGACAGTTCACAGTCATATACATTACACAGCAGTGGGTATCGGTCTCAGTGGCTCACCCGCTCCGCAGTGAGTCCTGCACTCCGTACGCTCCCTGCGGACACAAGCCTGCCACAGGTACACTGTCCTTCAGCTGAGAGCGGAGTCCTCGAGTGTCCTGAACAAACACAAATAACACGCATTCACCCTTTACGCGGGCTAATAGCTCCGCTCACAAACACTGAAATCACCTGGCCGACCCTTGTGGCTTAGCGCTAACTAGCATTAGCTCGAGTGACTAATCAAATTCACAACTGCCGGGTTTTAAAGGACACAGAGACAGGAGACAAAGCTGCGAGAGGTTAAACAAACATGCGTATGACTACAGACAGCAGCAGCGTGGTAATCTATATGGCAACGATGTGATAAACGATGATAAATAGCTTTACATCCATAACTTACCATTCTGCTTCTTCTACTTTCTCTTCGATACACTGGAATATCCGGTCGAGTTGAGTCGCGCTTTCATGACGACACATCCTGTTGTGAACGATTTATCATCAAAATACGTTGTAGTCTGGTTATAGCATAACATTTGTACCCTGAATACGTACTTTATGTGTTTTTAATCACGTGAATAATGTACATCGCAACTTTTTGACATTTTAACACAAATACAACACCAACACTGGTCAGGGTCATGTTTAAAGAGTGCGCATGTCAGCTGTTCGTTATCAGGGGGTATAGCTCAGTGGTAGAGCATTTGACTGCAGATCAAGAGGTCCCCGGTTCAAATCCGGGTGCCCCCTCTTTACTTGCTAATGCTCTCTCTGGACTGGTCCTTTATTTCCTGTCATTCATCCATTCCACAGGCGCTGTCTCACTGATCACGCTTCCTCTTCTACTCCAGTGAGTTAACCCCTCTTGCATTCCCCTCACAGTATTCCCAGTTCATCTTCTTTAGCGTAACATCATCGAGTTCTTACGCTCCCACTTCACTCGAGGGGTACAGTCCTCGCCTTAAAGTTCATTCCCAGATTGGCCACCAGCACTCACACTTTATCATTACTAACTATCTTTGAACGCACCACAGCCTTTTTTCAAGACGATAATAACCCAGTCTTTTTTATTTTGAACACACCACATCGCACTCACATCCTAAAAGACCCAACAGTTCCAAGGAACCACACATCGCTGAAGTATTTCTCTTCCTTAGAGTATGTCTTAGTTCTCCTGTTCATACACTGTTAATATATTCAACTGCAACAACTGGAACAGTTGCTCATTCACTTCATATGGTTATTTCTAAATGTTATAGTTTATGGTAATCACTTTTGTTTATGTTTATTTTATTTTTTTTTTTTATTTATGGAAGGATATACTGTCCATGTTTAAATATATATATATACAATTTTAGATTGACTAAAATTCTTGTTGAAATATATGGTTTAATATACTTTATTAACAGGCATGTGGAGTGATGTTATTTATAAGTGGAGGGGAACAGTTTTGACAGTGAAATCTCTAATTGGCAAAAGCTGCTAGTATGGTACTGATGAATGGAACGTACTCCAAAACTTTGAAGGCTGATGTGACTGTGATGCAGTTTCTTCTTTTGGACAGTTCTTGCAGGTACTCAGCCCATGAACATGTGGAAGCAGCTCCTGTCAGTGTCAATCATGGTGGTGTGTAGGTATCCATCCACCAAAAAATTGAAGATATGAGAAGACGGGCATATCAGCCACACTGAGAGAAGTTCTTGTTTAGCAATATGAGTGAGTAGTCACAGACTGTTTGATGCTGAATCATTATTTAGTGCATTACCGTGCTCTGATGCGACGGCCGGGGGGTCTGGTTACCAGGTCTATATGTAAAAAGACACTTTTTTAAATCAAAGTCTTGGGTTTTTCTCAACTTGCAACTTGACAGTATCAGTAGATGCCACTTTATTTTGAAGCCACCCTTGGGAAAATTCAATTAAAATCGGAAAAAGTGTTTGTTTCATCACTATAATTCCACTTAAAAAATACATGATATGTCAGTACCCGTACGAAACCAGCTGTAGCTCTTAAATTTCTTGTATCCCTCAGAAACAGCCCTTGTTATATACGCACAGTCCTTTCTGCACACAAGACCCAGGTAGAAGCAAATGCATTTTCAACGATTTGCAACTTGTCAAAAAACAAAGAAATAATTTATTTTGAATTGATATAAGGTTGTGTTTCTGTTAAAGGACAATATGGTACGTTCTAAACCACAGAACTTCTAGTTTTCTTTATGTTTAAACACCAATAAAGTGCCTGCTCTACTGCACATGTTGCTCATATGACTATTTAAAAATGTTTCACCTGTGAAGATCTTTCCATCTTCTGTCAGAGAGCTGACCCCACTCTGAGTTGGCTGTAAGGGCAGTGAGGGAACTCTTTGGCCTTGTGGGACTCATGAATAAGAGATTTGATCCAGTCATCTGCATCACCAGTCCTTA